GAGCCGAGCATCGGATGACAGCCACATGTGCTTCGCGTTTACCGATCCGAAAGGATAAAAATTAAATAATCGCTTTCATCGAGATCCACTGCTGAGATAAAAAAATATTGCTCATTTTTTACCGATTTATAACCGATATCGATTTTTAATATCAGAGGGAAAATATATCTTACAGAACTTAACATTTTTTCTTTATCAAGAGTACAAGATATCTGCGCAGGAGGGCGAGTAAGAGCAACTAAACTGCCACGGCAGCGAGACTCATAATGATTGTTACGGAATATATGCTGTATATGCATTCTCCCATGCATCTCCAGCTAATATGCATTGTGCACGAGATGTCGCTCGAGCTTCAGGAAAAAAAAAGAAAGAAAATAAAACAACTGCATATTACGAGGATGGCGTGTCTGGCGAGCAGATGTGCCTGAATATTTGCGAAAATATATTTTTTTTCTTTCTGTTTTATTTAACTCATTAAATATTGTTCGCTGCTGCTGCTGCTGCTGCTACTGCACGCTTTACTACTTTTTATTTTTTCTTACCGATGCAATAATAACGAGAAGCAGCGGATCTTATTTCGTTGTTTTTTTATAAATACGCCTTAATTCTACATTAATATACAACCGAATTAGGAGAAAAGTTGAAAGGTACACTATATACGCGCGCATACATAAACGTAAACTTTGACTTCGGCTTATACGACAGAAAAAAAGCTCCTGCCTCTGCGTCACATACATACAGGGGAATCTTCGCCTCATTTTTTTTTTCGCTTCTCGTCCAAAAGGCGTCGCTTTGTCCCGACGACGCTCCTCTCTCTCTCTGCTATTTTTTCTGCATGCTCGCGCGATTTTAATGCAGTAGTTGGCTCCGGCGGCTGTATATGCGGTATATAACCACGCGAACTCGCGCGATCCTCCTTTCATGTCTTTTTTTGGTTTCCAGAGAGAGGCTTTCAGCTTATATTATTATTATACGCGCCTGTGTGTATGTATGCGTTGATGATGTGCCGTACGACGCGAGAGATCTCTTTCGCGGCAAAGTAAACTCGCTCGCGCGAGGCTTTGATGATTGTTATTAAAATATTTATATCGGTTCGCGAAGAAAAAAAAATAATAAAAAAAAAGAAGCAACTCCTTATTAGGGATGATATACACACGATGATACGTTTATCGAGGTGACCTCAGAATTGAATATATACGAGCGAATATACAAAATTATTATTGAGGCGTATAATAAATCTACCAAGTCGAGTCGCGACACTAAACACATACACACCGAGGCCAAAAATTTGCTCGTTTATATAGGCTGTGCGTGTGCGTGTTTCTCTTGTAATTAATAGTTCGTTCTATAGGAGCTTACGTAAACGCGAAAGGCAATTATCTTCGAAATATATACATTATACGTATCGCACTGAGAGACAAGTTCGAGATACATTACGACTTTAGACTGCCTATCATCTTCAGCTCGTATATAACTCGTATGTATATAAGCGAACTTCTCGGTATAGAAGAGACGAACGAACAAAAAAAAACAACAACAAAATTAATAACAAGAATCGGTGGATGATTTATTTTTGTTTCCCTCGATCGCGCGCCATTATATATACGATATTCGTATAGCGCGGAGAAAAGAGAGGAGAACGCAACAGGTTGAAGCTGTATACAGTGGTAAGCGCCGCCACGGGTGCGCGCAGGTGTGACTTTCTATAATTGTGTATCGTATACAAGCTCCGCCTTTGTGTGGCACGTGTGCTCTGGTGTGGTGATCCAAGCGTGAATGAATCGACACCTGTTGATGTCTCGTAATTAAGAGAACAATATAGGGATGTCATCGATCGAATCTCGGCACTGTGGTCAGCCGTGATTTATTGCATGTACGCGTCGACACCAATTCAGATAATAAAAGAAACGATTAATTAATTAATTAATTGATTAAAGCTCGACTCTCTTGTATTAAGATCGTGAAAGCGTGTGTGTCTCGCTCATTGGTGCACGCGTAATAGTATCGAGTTTCGGATTTGTAAAGTGTCAAGTGTCGAGTGTAGCTTAGTATATAAGAGCTCGCGCGCACGCCGATCGATTTACGACGATGACGCGTTGGAAATTCTCTCGTTTTCGAGTACGACTCGATAATCGCGGCCAATGAAGCTGATTTACACCATTTTTTCCAGCTATTAACGCACGCCGAACTTGTGTTTGTGTGTTTACACACGGCGATCGCGCGCGGTGTCACACGCGAGTCGATTTCCCAGCTCGCGTGCTCTGTCCCTCTCTCTTTCTCTCTGTCTTGTCTGACAAACGATGACGAATATCTTTTCCCCCGTTTTTTTTCTTTTTCTTCGGTTTTTTTTCTTCTTTGCTTACTATACGCGCCTCGGGCCGGGGACAACGCAAGTTGTAATCTAAAAATATATGCGTATGACTTCGAAGACGAGCTCGAGGTATGCATATCGTACGAAAGTCGATGCACTCGGTGGTTCTCACGCTAGTGCGCGCGCGCCTGGGTGGGTGGCTGTTAACTCATTTACGCGCGCGCGTGTTCGTTTTTTGTTCTCCGGGTGACCGCGTATGTTTGAAATATATTGCGCACGATCTTTTTTTTCTATCTCTTTATTAATAATGAAACGAAAAAATGATGGTTACATTCTTGATCGCACCGTCGACGGTTATTTCGCAATATTTTGCTTTGTTTTTCGTATCGAGTTCGCGAGTCGTAGCACGCACTTGCGAATCGTAAAACGATGTATGTATAAATGCGAGCACAGACATAAAGACAACTGAAAAGAAAAGAGCGAGACAGAGAGAGAGAGAAAGAAATGGCAGAGAGATGATCGTCAATTATCGCGTGTGTATAATACACGCGAAAGAAACTCCGCCTACTGTCGCGATACATCGAGCCGCTGTCGCATTGAGAGGAGAAGGAGGAGGAATATAACACACAATCGCCCATGTTCGTTGATATAAATTGTGTTTGTGTGTGCGAGTGTAAAATAATAATGAGCGCAGCTGCGAAACGAGCGCCTCGATCGCGCGGCAGCCCCGAGAGAGCGTTTAATGATCGATCGCGCGACACGATCCACGGAGACATTGCTTTTAATTTTTTTTTTTTTTTGTTACTTTTGCTTTTGCGGGTGGACGATATATATACACGTATACATCATACGCGTTTTAGAGAGAAAAAGATGCGAACCCCGGAGACATCAATTTTGCGGCTCTAGGATTCGCAAAACAGGAAGCTCTCGACTTTATTTTTTATTAGTTTTATTATAATCCCCTGAATATTCCGACTCTTTTTTCATCCTTTATTTTTTTTTCGGGATTTTTTGCAATGTGTATGCGTATATGTTTCACGGTCACGCGGCCGCGCTAATGGATTTTCGAGTTCCGAGATTTCTCTGCTGCGCCCCCGAAATTGCCTCTGATACATGCATTTCCGCTGCCGCGAGCTCTATACAATACGACGACTGCGACGACGAGTCGCCTTTTTTTCGCCCGTATACTACAAGCGTGATTCGCAATCGTTTTAATATTCGGCGCGTTTCTCATTTTTTTCATTGTTAAATTTTTTTTCGTGTACAGCTTGCACAAGTGCACGAGACTCGAAATCCGGTAACGATAATTAAGGTTGCGCCGCAAGCTCGCCCACTTTTTCTCCATAAATCTTTTGTCGTAACGCACGTATACGTCGATGCGCGCAATATAAATAACGTATCGTTTCGCGGTGTACTATATTAAAAACCTTTCAAGATCCCTCGACGACTGACGATCAACTTTTTATAATATCATCGTTATTATTATCATTGCTATTACGCTTTGGTCTTCTTTCTTTCTTTTTTCTGCTCGGCTTTCGAAAGCTCGGTAATGTATTCTCGCCTTTTACAAGATCCAAACACTTTGCTAAAGAAACAAGACGACGATAACGAGCAGAGATTTGATTTTTGCGCGATATAGACGAGAGAGAAGTAGTAGTAGTACGTTCGAGATATAATACACAATACGGTCATTCATCACTCGAGGATGTAAATACTTGACCCACATATAACTTTACGTATCTATAATGTACGTCTTCGTGCTACAACTCGAGATAAAATAATAATAATGATAAAAATAATATTTTTCGAACGAAAATCGAACGAATTTCGAACAAAAGAGATATCCGTATACAACCACACGAGTCACGCGTCGACTTTTCGCGCTTCTATACAGCAGTATAGGCCTGCGGGTAACGAGCTGTGTACGCGTGACAGCTGCTAAACGAAAAGCTTATAAATAAGCGCGCGCGTATAGGAGCTTTTTCGCGTCCGCTTCTCTATATACGCTACTCTATATACACTTTTCAATTATGTACCATGTAAGACGATGTACACGCGCCAGTTATCGAGGTGACGAGTGCTCATCCATGTAGTACATTGTTGTAATGCGCGTGTTGTATATATAGTGTACCGCGCGAGCGAGACTCAAGGTCGATTATACGTTGTTACATGGGCGCGTGTTTCGGCGCGAAACAGTCCAGACCGATACCATGGACGACTTCTGATTGAAAGAGGTTGTCCGACGCTTTTTATCTTTGAAGTTTATTGGATTTAGAGATGCTTGATTATTCATACGGTTGAATAAATAGTGAAAATGGAAAATTGGTAACATTATTAAGATTCGTCGAGTCTTGGGTGATTTAGTTATTGAAATTTTTTTTATTACAATTGGAAATTCTTCAAAGTTACATCAAATTTTTAGAACAAGCAAATAAATTACATTTTATGTCTTTTTCCATTATTCGTGATTCTACATTTATTCATAACTTAAAGATTATATAAAATTAAATAAAATATCAATACCAACAATTTGTTGAAAATCTTTGTAATTAAATAAATAACTTACCGAATGTATTCGGCTCATATTTTTTTAAACTTAAATATTGTTGTTGTTTTTTTTTTATACTTGAATCTTCGAATTTTTCTGAAAAATTGATGTGTCAAATAACGTTAACAGTTACGAAACGATCCAGCTCTGATAAACGTTAGTAAACCACGAAACAAATCTCGTAAAATTTAGGGCAATTGATGCAAGCTTGAATTTGATTATTGCGGTACATGAGATGATCCTTCAGTGAACGTTCACGAGTCTATGTGGTATTTGAAGTAGCCCTTGTTTTTGATTTTTCATCACGTAGATAGATCACTTTTGTGCATTCTAACGATGTGTCTTTTAATGCTACATTTATCTGTGAACTTCTTTCCGCAAATATCACATGGATGCGTAATTTTATAGTGCACCGATTCGATGTGTTTTTTGAGACTAATCTTGTTTGAATATGTCTTTGGGCATTTATCACATGAATGCGTGATTTTATGATGCGCCGAATCCATGTGGGTTTTCAGATTCGTTTTCTGTGTGAATATCTTCTGGCATATATCACATGCATGCCTCATTTTACGATGCATCGAATCGATGTGCTTTTTGAGGTAACCCTTGTCTGAGAATGTCTTTTGGCATATATCGCACGGATGTCGGACACTATTATGCACCACATTATGCACCGAATCGATGTGATTTCTGAGACTACCTTTCTTTGTGAACTTCTTTCCACAAATATCACATGCATGTCTGACACCATTATGCACCGATTCGATATGTATTTTAAGAGTACTCTTGACTGAGAATGTCTTTTGGCATATATCACATGCATGTCGGATTTGATTGTGCACTAAATCAATATGTTTTTTTAGATAACCCTTGTGTGAAAATGTATTTTGGCATACATCACACGCAAATCTGACACCATTATGCACCGAATCGATGTGATTTCTGAGACTACCTTTCTTTGTGAACTTCTTTCCGCAAATATCACATGTGTGCGTAATTTTATTATGCACCGTTTCGATGTGGGCTTTGAGATTCGTTTTCTGTGTGAATGTCTTTTGGCACATATCACATGGATGCGTGATATGATGATGCACCACATCGACGTGAGTTTTGAGATTGCCTCTTCGTTTAAAAACATTTCCGCAAGTGTTACATGCGTGACTGACACCATTATGCACCGAATCGATGTGGACTTTGAGATTCGTTTTCTGTGTGAATGTCTTTTGGCATATATCACATGGATGCGTGATTTTACTATGCACCGATTCTATGTGGGTTTTGATATGATTCTTATATCTGAATGATTTTCCACATACATCACATCCATACGTTATTTTGCGATGTACCGAATCGATGTGTCTTTGAACATGACTCTTATATCTATATGATTTTCCACATAAATCACATGAAGGTGTGAAACGCTTGTGGACTGCATCAATGTGGCCTTTGAGATTACCTTTTTGAGTAAAAGACTTTCCGCATTGATCACATGAGTGGGTAATACCATGATGCATTGATATGACATGCTTGTTCAGATTGCCCATAGCTGAGAAATATTTTCCGCGTGTTTCACACATGTAAGTTATATCATTTATATGCATCGCACCTTGGTTTCTTTTGAGGTTAAGTTTGTTGTTCAACTCTTTTGTTATTTTTCTTGTTTTATTTTCTTCACCACGTTTACAGTCTGAATTCAAATTCGATTCTTCTGCAGTGTTCACAAAAGATGCCTGTTGTACTTCCTCCTTGGGTTCCATTTTAATCGTGTTTTGAGTTTTATAAACATCATTGTACTTCATGCCCTTGAAGAAATTTTGAGAGTCTTCTTCAATTTTCTTGACTGCCAATGAATCCATATTGGGCTTGACGCCTTGACATTCAACAAGTATTTCCATTTCGTCAACTAGTTGACTTTCTTGTTTTACGTAACATTGTTGAAACGTATCGATCTGCCGATAAATTAAAGCTGTGACAATTTTCATGGGCAAAAACCTACAATACGAGCTACATACGATTATCAACACTTACCGAATTTTCTCGTGGAAATGGCAAGAGTTGGAAGTTTTTAACATCTTGTTCTTCGTCATTCATTTCAGAATTATTTTTGTTAATCGACACATCACCAGGCTCCTCTTTCACTCTGAAATAATAACCCCAATAAGATTAAGTATTTTGTTTCGATAATTTTCTAATTATATTCGCGTAAATTGAGAGTTACCTGACAGCCCAATTGAATGAATCGCTGGATTCCATACTCCTCGCTTAGAAGTAGCACGGAAAAACTGGCGAGAAGTCGCCTGTGTCGAGCTCGCTATAATTTTGAGAAAAAAAAACTGCGCCCAAGCTAAAAAAGTGCCAGGTTATGTGCGACCTGCTCAGGCTCACAGCCAGCGTTGTTAGAACGAGCCGCAAACATGGCTGCCTCACTGTTTTATCGACTCGACTTCGTTGACTTTTTCGGTGTAGCCAACTTATGAGTGCGGGCAATTTCAAATATACTTTGTAAAGCATACACTATAACTTGTACATGTACACGCGACTATTTCGTTGTTTTTTCAGAAAAATAAATAATTCATCCGATGCCGTTTATTTTTTAAGAAGTGGTATCGCTCACCACGGTAACACCATAAATGAAGGACATTATTCGGCTTTTTTAAATATTGAAAACGTATGGTATCACGCAAATGACGATACTGTCGAAACTAAGAATTTTGAACAGTTAAAAACAATCATTGAAAATGATGCTTATATATTAATCTATGAAAAAAAAATAAATTAGCTGTTGAAACGAATTCAAAGAGTTTTCTTTATTTCTAAACTTTTGTTTCCAAAAGAGCGTGTATATACACCTGCACATGTTCGTGATTCTCAAAGTTGGCTACACGTAGAAAGTCAACGAAGTCGAGTCGATAAAACAGTGAGGCAGCCATGTTTGCGGCTCGTTCTAACAACGCTGCTCACAGCACAGAAATCACTCATCAATATTGGCGGAACACACGTGTGGAGCGATGCATGCGCCGCACCGGCACACCGCAGAACGAAAAACACTCAATATGCTCTTCGCTAATTTTTCGAAGTTATCGATGCGTTATGAAGACACGATTGGGTCATTAGAATTATATGGCATTATGCACCACAGCTATCTATTGAACTTCAAGAAGTATATGAAATGATATGTTGTTATTGAAAATTGAGAAAATAAAAGAAATGATTTTTTTAAACACGACAATGCCATCAAAACTACGCGTCATGAAATATTTTATTTTTTCATAATACTTTTACTAGATTCGGTGTAACCAGCTCTTCAGCAGGTATGAATTTATCATTAAATCATCCATTCGTCAAAAGTGAACGAAAAAAAAAAATTTCTCACAGCTACAGAGAAAACATTTTTCCGCTGTCGCGATAACGCGTCAAACGACATTCCTCGTGACTCGTGTGTGTATCATAATGTATTCCCCCGTAATAATACTGCACGCGGTGACCTTCGATCCCTTCGCTCCTACATTGCGAGAGTCGAATCTATTAATAGAACGTCTTCTTTCGCGCGTGCATCGGCGCACCCACAGGGCTTGAATATATATAGTATATAGTAGAGCTTTCGATTTTTCGTACACATTATAGTAACCTTTGTTCGCGCAAAAATAAAATCTCGAAGCTGCCTCTACGTACATGTATGATAAAAGCTTTCTTATTCGTTCGAGACGGGCTAACGAGACTTTTGTCTCGGAACGAATACCTATATAAAGTAAAAATGTTTACTCAAAAAGCTTCGAGAGAGCATCGATGCTCGCTCTTTCTGGGCTTTCGTGCGGTATTTTCATTGATCGCGCGCGCGCGCGCGCGAGCGTCATGTAATACTATATGTTTTTCTTTCGACTACTACCGTTGTTTCTCCGCGACGTTACTGCAGCAGCACAGAGTACATACACTGTATATAATTGATGTTGATTGACAGCCAAAGAGAGAGAAATAGAGAAAAGAAATTGCCAAAGATAGATTTTTCCTTAGTTGGGCTTCTTCTTTCTTTGCATGGGATACATGTACTTAAATTATGTATTTATATCGCTAATGAGCATCAAAGTGAAAAAAAGCGCGCCGAGTTGCTTTGTGCACGATGTAAACGCCCTGCGTTGATGGTTTTTGTTTTTGTTTCGTTTGTTTCGTAAAAGACGCGCATCGCCGAGAGCGTCGCGACGCCCGAAAAAAAATTATATTCGCGAATGAAAAGAGTCTCGTCGCGTCGTAAAGAGAACGTGTATGAAAAAAGTAGAGAGGGGAAACCGAAGCTTCCCTTCTCGCTAATTTGCGCGGCAAAAATTGTTCCGTGCGCAACGACGGTCTTAAAATAAAGTCGAAAATTATAAGAGAGAGAGAGAGAGCGGCACATCGATCAGAGGGTTTTTTCTGAGATGATGCAGGCTGGTAACAAAAACAGGTGCAGTTGCATATTGAGTCGGATGAATAAAAATACGTTCGGACGATATATAAGTGGCCGTATACGCTGGAATCGAAAGGCGAAAGTGATGAGGGCGGATCGATTCTGCGGCAGACCAGTAGGCTGTGGCCACATTCGATGCTCTCGAGCGACTACAGATTGATTGTAATCTAAGTAAACTTGGATTTGGCTTGCCACAAGTGTCTTATTTGTCCGATTATCGTATTCAGATTAACTCGCGAAAGTAACCGCATTGGGTATAATGACATCGATTGATTTAAAAGTACGAGTGACACATAGTCGAGGTGCTGATGTCACGTGTGAGGTAAAGGTAGTTTATGACTTGACATTCACACCGGAAGATATATAATCAAAAAACGATTAGCCAATAGCCTTTTTTCGTTGTTTTATCAATTATAAGAAATTAACTTTTGATTTCTAATTTTTAATTTCTTCATGCTAAAATATTATTTGTGAAAAAGTTACTGTTGTTCACGGGGTATATCGAGTGTAATATTGCCCCGATTATATTGATTCCTATTTCCATATCATGATTAGTAAATATTATTGAGATCAGTTTGAGTTCTATTTCGACTCGTAACGGTAGTATTGACAGAGGTAGTCGCAAAAGACATTTCCAACGAGTAAGATGGAAACTAGTGGTTTATTCAATCCTGCTGTTAGGTAATTTTTATTTTGTGAGGATGAAGTCATAAAAATATTAAAACGTAATTCATCATCTAATTAATATTATTTCAGAGTGAAAATCGAGCCTTGTGATGTTTTGCTTACCCAAAATAATTATGAAACCATCGACGAGATACCCGTAACTGAAAATGTCAAGTACGAAAGGTTTCTTCAAGAAAACTCGGTAAGATTTAATAATTATTTTCGACCGTAGCAGTTAAATTTTAATGAACCGTCCCTCATAACTTTAATCCTTTTCAGACCCAAGAGCTTCAAGAAAAGGAACTTGACGACATTCACATCGAAATGGAATGTACAGACATGAAGCCCAATTTATTGGCGGTTGCGAAAATTGAAGATTATTCTCCAAGTCAATGGCTAGATAGAGATGAGTATAAAACCGGAAGCACCATTAAATTAGAAACTGTTGGGTCTGTGAAGAAAGAATATTTTGGTGAAGAAGAAACTGATTTGAATTTTGGACGTGGACCCAGCGAAAAAAATGAAAAAGGAAATGTTTCAAAGGAGATGAACTCTAAACATAGGCTCAAAACTCACACTGAATCAGCCCGTAACGGCAATATCAAACCTGCATGTGATATTTGCGGAAAAGTGTTCAAACTTAGAGGTCATCTCAGTAGGCACATCGATTCGGTGCATCGTAAAATCACGCATTCATGCGATATATGCCTAAAGACATTCTCAAATAAAAATAATCTTAAAATACACAGTGATTCAGTGCATTATAAAATTATACATCCATGTGATGTATGCCAAAAGACATTCTCAAACAGGAGTAATCTCAGAAAGCACATCGAGTCGGTGCATAATTGTGTCAGGCATGCATGCGATATATGCCAAAAGACATTCTCAAACAGGAGTAATCTCAGAAAGCACATCGAGTCGGTGCATAATGACGTCAGACATGCATGCGATATATGCCAAAAGACATTCTCAGACAAGAGTAATCTTAAAAATCACATCGATTCGGTGCATAATGAAGTCAGACATGCATGCGATATATGCCAAAAGACATTCTCAGATAAGGGTTATCTAAAAACCCACATCGAATCGGTGCATTATGGGGTCAGACATGCATGCGATATATGCCAAAAGACATTCTCAGACAAGAGTAATCTCAAAACTCACTTCATTTCGGTGCATAATGATGTCCGTCATGTATGCGACATTTGCGGAAATGTTTATAAACGAAGAGGCGATCTCAAAAAACACATCGATTCGGTGCATCATAAAATAAGTCATGCATGTGATATATGTCGAAAGTTATTCACACAGAAAACGAATCTAAAAACCCACATCGATGCAATGCATAATAATATTACTCACGCATGTAATATATGCGGAAATAAATTTACACGAAAAAGTAATCTCAAAAAGCATATGGATGCAAAGCACAATGGAATCACCCATCCATGTGATTTCTGTGAAAAAAAATTTAAATACCAAACTCAACTCAATAAGCACGTCAAATTGTCGCATAATGGTATTACTCATGCATGCGAGACATGCGGCAAGTCGTTCGGACAGAAAAGAAATCTCAAAGACCACCAAATTGCACATCACCCACGCATTAGCGCGAAATAAATTGATCAAACGTATGTTCAATGTTGTATAAAACAGCGTCTAGTATATTGTTTGTGAAATTAGGAGACTTTTTCGAAAATAATCATTCGATGCAACAATTTTATCCTTCGTTATGTTATCTCGCTGTCACATACCACAAAATAACGTTCAAGTTGGAAAAAAAGTAATCATGAGCTCAATTTGATTCTTTAATAATAAAAAAATGATGATCTTTTCGATCGAATCCTTTACAGAATTTTAAAAATGTTTGAACAAATGTGTATAAAGAAATAGAAAAAATTCATTTATGCAATGGTATCACGAAAAATGTCTTTTTTCGCACATTTTTTAGTGCGCAAAAAGCGTTTTTGAATACTTGTGTGCGGTAAAATGCCTCATTTTGGACACAGGTGTGCGGTAAAACGCCTCATTTAAATAAACGTATTTCTCGCCTACTATTGCATAAAATTTTGTATGCAATACGTGCCCAGCTTTTTGCGCACAGTGTGCGCAAAAAACGCCCACTCTTGTCGGCATAGCCGGTACTCGTGTCTTTTTCCGCACACTTGTGCCCAAAAACGCCTTTTGGGCACTTGTTACATAAATTACTATTATTCTCTCGATCTTTAGCAAAAAGACATGTGTAAACTTTTTTTTAAATGACTATAATTGTATTGAAAAATATTAAAACCTCAAATTGGGCATCGATATAGATGATAATTATAAGTATTATATAAACGAGACGAAATTTTGTAAGATTCAAAATTGTTTGAATAATAAAAAATTGAATAAACATTATAGCTTAGTTCGTTCAATAAGTGTTAAAAAATGTAGTACCTTTAAATCGAATCTTATTAATTCTCATTTTTGTTTACTGCAATAAATAATAGTGTCGACATTTATCAGTAATGATTATAATTATTTTTCAAAGTTTCAATCGACAAACTTACATTATAACTAACATAATAACTCGAATTGTACCATTTTGAATAAATAAAAACTTACATTTATCATTATATTAAAATCTAATTGATAATAAACTGTTATCCAGCTGTGATTTCATTTTTCTAATTAACTATATATTTTCTAATAGTTTTCTGAAACTACATATTTTCTATAAGTAGCAACATTAGTATGCACTCGCATCGAAAAGTGACAGTGACGAGGGCGGATCGAATCTGCGGCAGACCAGTCGGCTGTGGCCACATTCGATGCTCTCGAGCGACTACCTCCTACATATTAATTGTAATCTAAGTAAACTTGGATTTGGCTTGCCACAAGTGTCTTATTTGTCCGATTATCGTATTCAGATTAACTCGCGAAAGTAACCGCATTGGCTATAATGACATCGATTGATTTAAAAGTACGAGTGACAAATAGTCCAAGTGCTGATGTCACGTGTGAGGTAAAGGTAGTTTATGACTTGACATTCACACCGGGGGACATGTAATCAAAAAACCAATATAAGACTTGAAATAAGGTAATCTGTAATCCTTATGAAAATTGTATCTCGATTAGCCTTTTTTTATCGTGGTTTTTTCAATTATAAAAAACCAACTTTTGATTTCTAATTTTTAATTTCTTCGTGCTAAAATATTATTTGTGGAAAAATTATTTTCGTTCAGATCGAGTGTAATATTGCCCCGATTATATTGATTCAAATTTTCACATCATGATTAGTAAATATTATTGAGATCAGTTTGAGTTCTATTTCGGCTCGTAACGGTAGTATTGCCAGAGTGAGTCGCAAAAGACATTTCCAACCAGTAAGATGGAAACTAGTGGTTTATTCAATCCTGCTGTTAGGTAATTTTTATTTTGTGAGGATGAAGTCATAAAAATATTAAAACGTAATTTATCATCTAATTAATATTATTTCAGAGTGAAAATCGAGCCTTGTGATGTTTTGCTTACCCAAAATAATTATGAAACCATCGACGAGATACCCGTAACTGAAAATGTCAAGTACGAAAGGTTTCTTCAAGAAAACTCGGTAAGATTTAATAATTATTTTCGACCGTAGCAGTTAAATTTCAATGAACCGTCCCTCATAACTTTAATCTTTTTCAGACCCAAGAGTTTCAAGAAAATAAGCTTGACGACATTCACATCGAAATGGAATGTACAGAAATGAAGCCCAATTTATTGGCGGTTGCGAAAATTGAAGATCATTCTCCCAATCAATGTCAGGATAGCGATGAATATAAAACCGGAAGCACAATTAAATTAGAAACTGTTGGGTCTGTGAAGAAAGAATATTTTGGTGAAGAAGAAACTGATTTGAATTTTGGACGTGGACCCAGCGAAAAAAATGAAAAAGGAACTGTTTCAGAGGAGATGAACTCTAAACATAGGCTCAAAACTCGCACTGAATCAGCCTGTAACGGCAATATCAAACTTGCATGTGATGTATGTAGAAAATCATTTAGATTTAAGAGTTATCTCCAAAGACACATCGATGCGGTGCATCGTAAAATAAGGCAAGAATGCGATATATGCCAAAAGACATTCTCAACAAAAAGTGATCTCAATAGGCACATCGATTCGGTGCACAAGCGAGTCAGACATGCATGTGACATTTGTGGAAAGACATTCACTCAAAAAGGTTTTCTTAAAACCCACATCGATGCGATGCATAATAGTGTCAGACATGCATGCGATATATGCCAAAAGACATTCTCAAACAAGAGTAATCTTAGAAAGCACATCGATTCGGTGCATAATGGTGTCAGGCATGCATGTGATATGTGCACAAAGAAATTTACTGCGAAAAGAAGTCTTAAAGCCCATATCGATGCGGAGCACAATGGAATCACCCACGCATGTGATTCATGTGAAAAAAAATTTAAATATAAAACTCATCTCAAAAAGCATGTGAAATCGTCGCATAATGTTATAACCCATTCATGCGGGACATGCGGAAAGACATTTGGACAGAAAAGAAATCTCAGAGCCCACATCGATATGGCGCATCGCTCACGCAATCAGACCTAAAAAATGTTCAAAATTTATGTTGAATTAAGTTACAAATCCAAATGTAAGATCAAGAGTATCTCTTCAGACGACTCAATGAATAATTTTTATTGATTCTATGACGAATTTCTCTGTGTTATGTTATTTACATATAGAAAGATATAAAAAACGTCCAAGTTATACTTCAAATAGACAAAGTTGCCAAAATCGAGAGTCTTGCAGGAGTCAATGATTGACGTGCTGGCGCGTTAAACCCGTTTACCTTATAATATCGCTAGTTTTTTTATTTATGATAAAATGCGGCCGTTATTAGTTTTATGAATGTTTTTTCGTACTCGATGTTACTTGCTATCTTTCCACTATTGTGAAAATTATTTTTTTACTTAAATTTATGAAACATCGTCGAGATCAGACTCGACTCTCTCGCTATGGTACGATGTCTCGGTGCAAAGCCAATGTCTAAATCAAAGCCATATGTTCTTCGAGCTTTTTCAACGTCAAGTTGGGTCGTCCCCGTGGTGCTTCGGAAAGGAACTCCCAAATTCCGTTATTATCACCATCGGTTTTACACGAATTCATATCATTGCAGCCTCTCCTTGAGATTCCTCGGAGGAGAGTCTAATTCAGGTTCTCTGGAAATAGCCAGAGGTATGAGCGTCAAAGTAACGTCCTTTGGCAAATCTTGTGAGACTCGACCTTTCGGCTGCTCCGAACTTGGAACGTATTATTGCCGAGCCAAATTTGTCAGCTTGGGAGGTAGTATTCGGCTTTCTTGAAGGATGTGACTCGGAGTATAAATAACCGTAATTCCAATTCCATGATCAACTGATCGAATCCATTTCATACGGACGAAATATTATCATTCCATTTTTTAGAACATGAAATAATTAATGCTAATGAATTCATTTTCATATTTTTTTGATTTCTTTGAAAATAAAATATTATGAATAGAAAAATTATTATTATTCACAAGGTAGATCGATAACGTAATTGTCCTGTTGTTATGAAACTTGAGTTGCTTCGTTTATATACTAGTTTCCATTCCCACATCATGATTTGTGAATGTTATTGAACTCAGTTAGTCGCAAATAACATTTCCAGCCAGCAAGATGGAATCGGGCCATCTATTAAATCCTACCGTGAAGTAATTTTTATTTCATGAGTACGAAAATATAAAAATATTAAAACATAATCATGTAATCTTATCCAATCTATTTCAGAGTGAAAGATGAGCCTCTTGATGAACCTTTCAATGATGATAATGATTACAAAATAATTGACACAATACCAGTTACTAAAAATGTTAAATACGTGATGTTTCGGCAAGAAAATTCAGTAAGCGTTAATAACTACGTTTGACTATCATTGATGAAATTTTCCTAATAATGTATTTTTTTCAGACACAAGAGCTTCTTCAAGAATACGACGAAAATCATAAAAATGAACTTGATGACCCGAAAATAGAAATGGAATGTAGAGACTTGAAGCCCAATTTATTGGCAGTTGCGAAAATTGAAGTTTTTTCTCCCAATCAATGTCAGGATAGCGATGTTTATAAAAACGGAAGCAAAATAAAACTCGAAACTGTCGGGACAGTGAAGAAAGAAGTTTTTGGTAAAGAAGAAACTGATTTGAATTTCCGACGTGGACTCAGCGAGAAAAATGAAAAAGGAAGTGTTTCAAAAGAGGTGAACTACGAACATAGGCTAAAAACTCACACTGAATCAGCCCGTAACGGCAATATCAAACCTGCATGTGATGTATGTAAAAAATCATTCGGATATAAGAGTCTTCTCCAAAGACACATCGATTCGGTGCATCGTAAAATAAGGTATCGATGTGATGAATGTGGAAAATCACTCAGATATAAGAGTTATCTCCAAAGACACATCGATTCGGTACATCGTAAAATAAGGCATCCATGCGATATATGCCAAAAGACATTCTCAACAAAAAGTGATCTCAATAGGCACATCGATTCGGTGCATAATAAAATCACGCACACATGCGATATATGCCAAAAGACATTCTCAGACAAGAGTTATCTCAAAAAACACATAGATTCGGTACATCGTAAAATAAGGTATCGATGTGATGAATGTGGAAAATCATTCAGATGTAAGACTCATCTCCAAAGACACATCAATTCGTTACATCGTAAAATCACGCATTCATGCGATATATGCCAAAAGACATTCACACAGAAAACGAGTCTCAAAATCCACATACAATCGGTACATCGTAAAATCACGCATTCATGCGATATATGCCAAAGGACATTCTCAGACAAGAGTAATCTTAGAAATCACATCGATACGGTGCATAATGGTGTTAGACATGCATGTGACATTTGTGGAAAGACATTCACTCGAAAAGACCACCTCACAACTCACATCGAATCGATACATCATAAAATTACTCATCCATGTAATAAATGCCAAAAGACGTTCTCAGACAAGAGTAGTGTCAAAAGGCATATGGATGCGGAGCACAATGGAATCACCCATCCATGTGATTTCTGTGAAAAAAAATTTAAATATCAAACTTATCTCAATAAGCATGTCAAATTGTCGCATAATGGTATTACTCATGCATGCGAGACATGCGGCAAGACGTTCGGACAGAAAAGAAATCTCAAAGACCACCAAATTGCACATCACCCACGCATTAGCGCGAAATAAATTGATCAAACATATGTTCAATTTTGAATAAAACAGCGTCTAGTATATTGTTTGTGACTTTAGGAGACTTATTTGAAAATTATCATTCAATGCAACAATTTTTTCCTTCGTTATGTAATCTCGTTATCGCGTACCTAAAAATAACGTTCAAGATGAAAAAACAGTATTAATGAGCTCAATTTGATTCTTAAATAATAAAAAAATAATGAACTTTTCGATCGGATTCTTTTCAGAATGTGAAAAAATGTTCAAACAAATGTGTATAAAGAAATAGGAAAACTTCAATTCATCTCTCTATCTTTCGCAAAAAGGCATGTGTAAACTTTTTTTTTAAATGACTATAATTGTATTGAAAAATATTAAAACCTCAAATTGGGCATCGATATAGATGATAATTATAAGTATTATATAAAACAGACGAAATTTTGTAAGATTCAAAATTGTTTGAATAATGAAAAATTGAATAAACATTATAGCTTCGTTCGTTCAATCAGTGTTGGAAAATGTAGTACCTTTAAATCGAATCTTGTTAATTCTCATTTTTGTTTACTGCAATAAATAATAGTGTCGACATTTATTAGTAATGATTATAATTATTTTTCAAAGTTTCAATCGACAAACTTACATTATAACTAACATAATAACTCGAATTGTACCATGTTGAATATATAGAAACTTACATTTATCATTATATTAAAATCTAATTGATAATAAACTGTTATCCAGATGTGATTTCATTTTTCTAATTAACTATATATTTTCTAAAAGTTTTCTGAAACTACATATTTTCTATTAGTAGCAATATTAGTATGCACTCGCATCGAAAAGTGACAGTGACGAGGGCGGATCGAATCTGCGGCAGACCAGTCGGCTGTGGCCGCATTCGATGCTCTCGAGCGACTACCTCCTACATATTAATTGTAATCTAAGTAAACTTGGATTTGGCTTGCCACAAGTGTCTTATTTGTCCGATTATCGTATTCAGATTAACTCGCGAAAGTAACCGCATTGGATATAATGACATCGATTGATTTAAAAGTACGAGTGACAAATAGTCCAGAGGCTGATGTCACGTGTGAGGTAAAGGTAGTTTATGACTTGACATTTACACCGAAAGATATATAATCAAAAAACGATTAGCCATTAGCCTTTTTTCGTTGTTTTATCAATTATAAGAAACTAACTTTTGATTTCTAATTTTTCATTTCTTCGTGCTAAAATATTATTTGTGGAAAAATTATTGTTGTTTAGATCGAGTGTAATATTGCGCCGATTATATTGATTCCTATTTCCATATCATGATTAGTAAATATTATTGAAATCTGTTTGAGTTCTATTTCGACCTGTAACGGTAGTATTGACAGACTGAGTCGCAAAAGACATTTCCAACGAGTAAGATGGAAACTAGTGGTTTATTCAATCCTGCTGTTAGGTAATTTTTATTTTGTGAGGATGACGTCATAAAAATATTAAAAAGTAATTTTATGATCTAATTAATATTATTTCAGAGTGAAAGTCGAGCCTTGTGATGATTTGCTTACCCAAAATAATTATGAAACAATCGATGCGATACCCGTAACTGAAAATGTCAAGTACGAAAGGTACCTCCTAGAAAACCCGGTAAGATTTAATAATTATTGGCGACTGTAGCAGTTAAGTTTTAATGATCCTTCCCTCATAACTTTAATATTTTTCAGACCCAAGAGTTTCAAGAAAATAAGCTTGACGACATTCACATCGAATTGGAATGTACAGACATGAAGCCGAATTTATTGGCAGTGGCGAAAATAGAAGATTATTCTCCAAGTCAATGTCAGGATAGCGATGAGTATGAAACCGGAAGCACAATTAAACTAGAAACTGTCGGGGTGCTGAAGAAAGAAATTTTTAGCGAAGAAGAAACTGATTTTAATTTCGGACGTGGACCCAACGAGAAAAATGAAAAAGGAACTGTTTCAAAAGAGCTAAATTACGAGCATAGGCTAAAAACTCACATTGAATCAGCCCGTAACGACAATATCAAACCTGCATGTGATGTATGTAGAAAATCATTCAGATTTAAGAGTCATCTCCAAAGACACATCGATTCGGTACATCGTAAAATAAGGCATGCATGCGATGTATGCCAAAAGACATTCACACAGAAAACGAATCTCAAAATCCACATCTATTCGTTACATCGTAAAATCACTCATTCATGCGATATATGTCAAAAGACATTCTCATTCAAGAGTAGTCTCAAAACGCATATGGACGCGATACACAATGGAATCACCCACGCATGCGATATGTGCACAAAGAAATTTACTGCGAAAAGAAGTCTTAAAGCCCATATCGATGCGGAGTACAATGGAACTACCCGCGCATGTGATTTCTGTGGAAAAAAATTTAAACATCAATCGAGTCTCGCTAGACATATCAGATTATCTCATAATGGTACCACTCATTCATGCGAGACATGCGGAAAGACATTTGGACAGAAAAGAAATCTCAGAGCTCACATCGATGCGGCGCATCGCTCGCTCAATATGACCTAATAAATGTTTAAAATTTATGTTGAATTAAGTTAGAAATAAAAAAGTAAGATCAAGTGTCAATTTTCATTAATTATGTGATGAATTTCTATGCGTTATGTCACTTCACTGTAACATATGGAAAGATATAAATAACGTCCACGTAACACTTCCAATGCAGGGAAAGTTGCCGAAATCGAGGGTTCTGCTCTTTTCTTATAATATCGCTCGTTTCATTATTTATGGGAAGTTGCGGCCACTACAAGCTTTATGGATGTTCTTTCGTATTCAATGTTACTTGCTATCTCTCCATGCTATTGTGAGAATTATATTTTGCTATCAAACATCGTTGCTATCAGACTCGACTCTCTCGCTATGCTACGATCTTTAGGTGCAAAGCCGGTGACCGAACTAAAGGCATATGTGGCATTTCACGTCAACTCTCCCAGTGCCGCACGGCGCGGTAAAATTGAGCCAAATCACTAAATTTGTGAATCGCTGTAAAAGTACTAAAATGCACGTGGTTTTTTGTTCGGCTGGTGGCGTCCGACCGCCCGCGTGCGCGAAAAAACCACGTTTTTTCTTCTTTCTCTCGCTATATCTCGCTAGAATCAAAAAATGCCTCTCTAGAAAATGTCAATATAGATGGAAAAATTCCTGATCTTTCGATCTAGACTACTTAAAAAAATCTTAAAAATGAAGTTTTTGAGATAATCGATTTTAAAGTTTTCCCATCGATTTTCTCGGGTAAAGCGGAAAATTTCGGAAAATCTGACCTTACCATCGGAAAGCTGAGGCGATTTCTGATCAAAATTATGGGTTCGTTTTTTTCTCTAGGTGCATTTTAGTACTTTTATAGCGGTTCGCAAATTCAGTGATTTGGCTTAATTCTGCCGCTCCGCGTGGCACTGGGAGAGTTGACGTGGAATGCCACACATATATTCTCCTTCGAGTTCTTTCACCGCCGCGTTGGATCGTTCCCGTGGTTTTTCGGAAAGAAACTCCCAAGTTCCGTTATTATCACCATCGGTCGTACACGAATTACTATCATTACAGCCTCTCCTTGAGACTCCTCGGAGGAGAGTCTAATTCAGGTTCTCTGGAAATAGCCAGAGGTATGAGCGTCAAAGTAACGTCCTGTGGTAAATCTTCTGAGATTCGACCTCACGGCTGCTCCGAACTTCGAAAGTATTGCTGCCGAGTTAAATTTGTCAGCTTGTGAGTTAGTATTCAGCTTTCTTAAAGGACGTGACTCAGAGTATAAAGAATCGTAATTCCAATTTCATGATCAACTCATCGAATCCATTTCATGCGGACGAATCATTATCCTTCCATTTTTTAGAACATGAAATAATTAATGCTCATGAACTCATTTTTATATTTTTTTGATTTCTTTGAAAATAAAATATTATGATTAGAAAAATAATTATTATTCATTAGGTAGATCGATAACGTAATTTGCCCATTGTTATGAAACTTGAGTTGCTTCGTTTATATACTGGTTCCAATTTCCACATCATGATTTGTAAATGTTATTGAACTGATTTAGTCGCAAATAACATTTCCAGCCATCAAGATGGAATCGGGCAATCTATCAAATCCTACCGTGAAGTAATTTTTATTTTATGAATATGAAAATATAAAAATATTAAAACATAATCATGTAATCTTATGCAATCTATTTCAGAGTGAAAGATGAGCCTCTTGATGAACCTTTCAATGATGATAATGATTACAAAATAATTGACCCAACACCAGTTACTAAAAATATTAAATACAAGATGTTTCGGCAAGAAAATTCAGTAAGCGTTAATAACTACGTTTGACTATCATTGATGAAATTTTCCTAATAATGTATTTTTTTCAGACACAAGAGCTTTTTCAAGAATACGACGAAAATCATAAAAATGAACTTGACGACCCGAAAATAGAAATGGAATGTAGAGACATGAAGCTCAATTTATTAGCAGTTGCGAAAATTGAAGTTTTTTCTCCCAATCAATGTCAGGATAGCGATGTTTATAACAACGGAAGCAAAATAAAATTAGAAACTGTCGCGGGGCCGAAGAAAGGAATTTTTAGCGAAAAAGAAACTGATTTGAATTTCGGACGTGGACTCAGCGAGAAAAATGAAACAGGAAGTGTTTCAAAAGAGGTGAACTACGAACATAGGTTAAAAACTCACACTGAATCAGCCCGTAATGTCAATATCACACCTGCATGTGATGTATGTAGAAAATCATTCGGATATAAGAGTCATCTCCAAAGACACATCGATTCGGTACATCGTAAAATAAGGCATGCGTGCGATATATGCCAAAAGACATTCTCAGAGAAGAAAAGTCTCAGAAATCACACCGATTCGGTGCATAATGAAGTCAGACATGCATGCGATAAATGCCCAAAGAAATTCTCAGACAAGGGTAATCTCGGAAGGCACATCGCTTCGGTGCATCGTAAAATAAGGTATCGATGTGATGAATGTGGGAAATCATTCAGATATAAGGGTCATCTTCAAAGACACATCGATTCGTTACATCGTAAAATCACGCATCCATGCGATATATGCCAAAAGACATTCTCACAGAAGAGTAGTCTCAAATATCACATAGAATCGGTGCATAATGGTATTTCACATGCGTGCGATAAATGCCCAAAGACATTCTCAACCAAGAGTAATCTCAGAAATCATATCGGTTCGGTGCATAATGGTGTCACATATGCGTGTGATATTTGCGGAAAGAAGTTCACAAATAAAGGTAGTCTCAGAAATCACATCGATTCGGTGCATAATGGTGTCAGACATGCATGCGATATATGCGGAAATGTTTATAAACGAAGTGGCGATCTCAAAACTCACGTCCATTCGGTCCATCATAAAATTACGTATCGATGTGATGAATGTGGAAAATCATTCAGATGTAAGACTCATCTTCAAAGACACATCGATTCGTTACATCGTAAAATCACGCATTCATGCGATATATGCCAAAAGACATTCTCAGACAAGAGTAATCTTAGAAAGCACATCGAATCGGTGCATAATGGTGTTAGACATGCATGTGACATTTGTGGAAAGACATTCACTCGAAAAGACCACCTCACAACTCACATCGAATCGATACATCATAAAATTACTCATCCATGTAATAAATGCCAAAAGACGTTCTCAGACAAGAATAGTCTCAAAAGGCATATGGATGCGGAGCACAATGGAATCACCCATCCATGTGATTTTTGTGAAAAAAAATTTAAATATCAAACTCATCTCAATAAACATGTCAAAAACTCGCATAGTGGTATCGTACTTTCATGCGAGACATGCGGCAAGACGTTCGGACAGAAAAGAAATCTCAAAGACCACCAAATAGCACATGACTCACGCATTAGCGCGAAATAAATTCATCAAACGTATGTTCAATGTTGTATAAAACAGCGTCTAGTATATTGTTTGTGACATTAGGAGACTTATTTGAAAAGAATCATTCGATGCAACAAATTTATCCTTCGTTATGTTATCTCGCTGTCGCATACCTTAAAATAACGTTCCAGATGAAAAAAAAGCAATAATGAGCTCAATTTGATTCTTTAATAATAAAAAAATGATAAACTTTTCGATCGGATAATTTTCAGAATATTAAAAATGTTCGAAAAAATGTGTATAAAGAAATAGGAAAACTTCAATTCATCTCTCTATCTTTAGCAAAAAGACATGCGTAAACTTTTTTTATTATATGACTATAATTGTATTGAAAAATATTAAAACCTCAAATCTGGCATCGATATAGATGATAATAATAAGTATTCTATAAAACAGACGAAATTTTGTAAGATTCAAAATTGTTTGAATAATGAAAAATGGAATAAACATTATAGCTTAGTTCGTTCAATAAGTGTTAGAAAATGTAGTACCTTTAAATCGAATCTTATTAATTCTCATTTTTGTTTACTGCAATAAATAATAGTGTCGACATTTATTAGTAATGATTATAATTATTTTTCAAAGTTTCAATCGACAAACTTACATTATAACTATCATAATAACTCGAATTGTATCATTTTGAATATAAAAAAATCTACATCTTATCATTACATAAAAATCTTATTGATAATAAATTGTTATCCAGCTGTGATTACATTTTTCTACTTTATTATAATATATTTTCTAACAGTTTTCTGATACTACATATTTTCTATTAGTAGCAACATTAGTAAAATGCACTCGCATCGAAAAGTGACAGTGACGAGGGCGGATCGAATCTGCGGTTGACCAGTCGGCTGTGGCCGCATTCGATGCTCTCGAGCGACCGCCTAAAATACATGATTGTAAAATAAGTACACTTGGATTTGGCTTGCCACAAGTGTCTTATTTGTCCGATTATTGTATTCAGATTAACTCGCGAAAGTAACCGCATTGGGTGTAAGTGCTGATGTCACGTGTGAGGTAAAGGTACTTTATGACTTGACATTTACACCGGAAGATATGTAATCAAAAAACGATTAGCCATTAGCCTTTTTTTTTGTTATTTTATCAATTATAAGAAACTAACTTTTGATTTCTAATTTTTAATTTCTTCGTGCTAAAATATTATT